CCGTATTGGAAAGAGAGGACAAGGTGCCTTCATCAACCAGGTTCACGGAGCTTCTGCCGGTTACAGGATTTTTATAACAACTTTCCAGGGATGACAGGGCGAAAAGGCTGGCGGCAGTGATTGCTAATGTATAAGCAGCTTCTCGTGTTTTCATACAGTGTCTATTTTAAATTTACAAATCAGCTAACTCAATTATAGTGCCAGCAAATCAATCACTAAAAATGCAAGCCTTACTTATTAGTGTAAGTGTACCACCACTAACCTGGCCAGGGCAACCTTCTTAATATCCCGAAGCGTCAACGTGTCACCGTCAACAGCATAACGATCAGTGGCGGAGAGTGCTGCTAAAAATCCCGTTTCGTCAGCCATTTCGCCGCAATATAATTCGGTACCTGAAATTTGCAGGAAGCGTATCTGGTCCTTATTGTTCAATTCATACTTACCCCCAAAAGCATTACAACCACCATGCCCGTTAAACACATAACCATCCTTTTTCAGGATAAGATAAGGCTCCCTATTTGCCCCCATAGACACCTCTTTTCCTGCTAACAGGATCAGCTTCCAGTATTTTTCAGTGATGCTATCCTCTTTCAGAGCGGTGGTACCGCTCTTAGGAGTCGTCCGCTTCTGTTGACCCGACATAACATTATTGCCCGTCTGACAACCGGTGATTGCTAATAAAAACAGTATGCCCAAAAGGCGACACAATGGACGGTTCATAAATCTGGATCAATCGGGTTAACCAAAAAAATGACTGAAATAACCTGGCAGTATAATACGAGCCACTGATCTAAAAGCCGGTCATAATCAGCACTAAGTTAATGTAAATCTAATGTTGCCACGTTGATAGACCATTATGATTAGCTTTGCGGCGTGATCGGAACATTAAAAAATACAGGCAGCCAGCCCACAACCTCCCCTGGAGGAAATGGGTTTACGGTGATTACTGCTGCCCGTACCGGTCATTTCCATTGTTTCTGTTACAAAGCTTATTTCTGCTCCAATTTTAAGGACTTTAATAATATTGCCCCGGCCTACCAAAACGAATTTATCTAAGGTCCGGGGATCTACTTTGGTACGTCCTTTTTTTCACACCATTTAATTATTCCATTATGTCTCGGAATCTCCCAAGGGTTTCGGCAAAAGGCATTATACTTTGTACCTTATCGGGGCTGAGTATACTGGCCCTTATTGCGGTACTTTTTAGTAGCTATGCCTGGCTTGGGGCATTGGTTATCCTGCTTCCATTAACCATGCTCGCCTTTTATCATTCGCGGCAACAGCACCATACTTTATTAAGCAATTACCCATTGCTTGGAT